GTGGCTAAGGCACTTGACTGCTAACCAGAAAGCTGGAGGTTCAAATCCACCAGCCACTCCTCAGAAGGAAGATGGGGCAATCTACTTCTGTAGTAATACTGCCTTGGAAACCCAAGGAGGGGTTGCTATGAGTCGGGTCCGACTCGACAGCACATAACAACAACAATTCATTTGACATTTTACCGAGTTTGAGTGAAGTGTAAACCTTGCCTCCCTTTATGTCCTTAACCTTTCTCCATTTATTATTGTCTTAAATATTTCCTCAGCATACATTTCTAACTACATCTGCAGTGTTGTATATTTTTTTTGCTTCAACCATTGACTTTCATGCTGAAATCTTAAGACAAGGAAATTTTATTGTATTTATCCATAGTTTCGCTCTTCCTGTTGTTATTTTCTTCCTTTCTTATGTTCTGAGTTTTCTTCTTTTGTCATATTCTTCCTGGTTCAAAAACCTCCGTTAGCCGCTCTTTTAGGATTGATATATTAGTGACAAATTCTGTTAGTTTTCTTTCATCTGACAATGTCTTGATTTCTTCTTAATACCTGAAGGGTTTTTTTTACTGGATACGATATTCTGGCTTGACAGTTTTTTACCTTCAGCACTTGAAATATGTTTTGCCAGTTCCTTCTGGCCTGCATGATTCTTGATGAGAAATCACTATTATTTTAATCATTATTATTATAATTATTAATGAAAGTATTGCTTATCTTCTGCTTTCAAAAATTTATTGTCAGTTTTCTGGAGTTTGATTATGATATGTCCTGTTATAGATCTCTTTGGGTCTGTCCTGTTGAGAGTCTGCTTAGCTCCTTGAATCTTCCTTTATGTCCTTTGCCAAATTTGGGAAGATTTCAGGCATTATTTCTTAAAATACTCTTTCAGTCCCATTCCTTTCTCTTCTGGTATTCTGATGACATGCGTGTTAGATCTCTTGTGATGGTCCTACATATCCTGAGGCTCTGTTCAATTTTTTCAATCTACTTTCTCTTCATTTTTCAGATTGAGTAATTTATATTGTTTTATTTTCAAGTCTGTAGTTTATTTTCTCTAACCTCTCCATCCTGCTATTGAGTCTATCCAGTGAGTTTTTATTTTGGTGTGTAAATTTCACTTCCAAAATTTATATATTTTTTTCTTCTTTATTATCTTTTCTATTTTTTCATTTGTTTCAAGTGTTTATAATTATTACTCATTGCAGAACTTTTATGACGGATGCTTTAAAATCTTGTCAGTGTGTTCCATCATCTGTTTCATCTTGTTATAAGCATCTGTTTACCATATTTTCTCATTCAAGTTGTGATCTTCTTAGTTCTTGGTATGATGAGCAATATTTGATTGTGTCTTGGACATTTTTGGCATTTTGTTGTGGACCTCTATATTTTATTTAAATTTTTGTTTTAGCAGACTTATTTACATGTCACTAGTGAGAGCATGGAGATACTGTTTTTTTACTGCCAGGTGGGAGTAAAAATTCAGATTTCTCACCTAGTGAGAAATCCTGTTTGGGCAGGGTGCCTGGGCAGGGCTAGAAGTTCATTCTCCCCACTAGGGCTCTGTTGTCACTACCCAGGGTGGGAGAGGGAGAGGACTTTGTTACTGCTTTCCATATGGGCTCCACTTAAACCATGGGAAGGGGCTTAAAGCTGGGAGGTGGTGATTTTCTGTATCTCTTGAGATGATCATATGGCTTTTGTTCTTTATTCTATTGATGTGGTGATTGTATTGATTTTCAAATATTGAATTAATTGAATGTGCCTTGGATAAACCCCACTTGATCATGATATCTTACTCTGTTTATACATTACTGGATGCAATTGGATAACATCTTGTTGAGGATTTTTGAATGTGTTCATGAAGGATATTGGTTAGTAGTTATAATGTCTTTGTCTGGTTTTGGTATCTGGGTAAAGTGGCTTCATAAAACCAGGTGGGAAGTGTTCATACCTTTTCTTCTTTCTGGAATTTTGTGTAGGATTGCTGTTATTTCTTTCATAAATGTTTGGTAGGAGCTCTGGTGGTGTAATGCCTAAGGCATTTGACTGCTAACCAGAAGTTTGGTGGTTCAAACCCACCAGCCACTCCTTGGAAGGAAGGTTGGGCAATCTACTTCAGTAGTGATATCACCTGGGAAACCCAAGGAGGGGTCACTATGAGTCAGATCTGACTTAATGGCAGTGAGTTCGGTTTTTTTTTTTTTTTGAAATGTTTGGTAGAATTTGCCAGTGAAGCCATCTGTACCTGGAGTTTTCTTTGTTGGAAAGTTTTTTTAATTGAGAATTCAATTTCTTTAATATGCAGACAGTTCTCAGGTTATGAACATCTGACTTACATACAGTCCATACTTACAAACTAATCCCAGTAAAACCTATTAAACATTTGGGGTACACACAGTGATTTGTAATAACAAATGGGGCATTATTTTGCAAAGTGTACCAGAACATTATTATTATTATTATGTTAAAGATGTTTTAATATATCTCGAAATGTTTTTCTTTTTTTTGTGTAGAAGAGTACACTATATGCTATATAGTAAGACAAACATTTGACTAACTGACATTAGATACAAACTATACCTAACTATCTCGACTTATGTACAAATTCAACTTAAATACAGACTTAGGAATGGAACTCATTTGTACTCCAGGAACTGCCTATATATAGAACTATTCAAGTTTTTGTTTTTTCTTCTGTGAACTTTGTAAGTTGTGTTTTTCAAAGAAGATGTACATTTCATCTGCCTTATCTAACTACTGATATAAAGTAAAGCATTCCATTATTATCCTTTATTGTTTGTAGGCTCTGTTATGATGACCCTTCTTTAATTACTACTCTTTGTTACTTATGTATTCTCTTGTTTTTTCCTAATTGGTCTAGCTAGAGATATATTAACTTTTTATTTTCAAAGCAACAGCAGTGGATGCATTGCTTTTCTCTTCCTGCTTTCTATTTTATTTTATTTCTGCTCTTTATAATTCTCTTTGGGTTTGCTTTGCTTCTTTTATTTAATTTTTTAAGTTGGAAGCTTATATAATTGATTTGAGACTTTTATTCTTTTCTGCTATAAGTTAATGTGTACATTTCCCTCAAAGCATTGCATAAACAGATTTTGATATGTTGTGTTTTCATTCAGATAAATACATTTGGGGCTTTTCCAGATATCTTTCTGTTACTGATTTCTAGTTTAATTCCATTGTGCTAATAAAAGATATTTTGTATGATTTTCATTCTTTAAAATATGTTGAGCTTTGTTTTATGGCCCAGGATATGGTCTGTTTTTGTGAAGATTCCTGTGCATTTTAGAAGAATGTGTAATTGCTATTGTTGGGTGGAATTTTCTGTAAATGTCAATTAAATCAAGTTGATTGATAGTGTTTCTCAGATCTTTTATGTCCTTAGTGTTTCATTTTCTGCTTTTTTATTGGTTATTGAATGAAGAGTTTTGTAGATTTATCTACTTTCCCTTTTACTTCTATTTTTGCTACATGCATTTTGAAGTTCTGTTCTTCGTTGCATGCATAGTTAGGATTATGTATTAAGTGACTCTGTCATTATGTATGTCCCTCTTTATCCCTGATAATATTCTTTACCTTGAAGTCTATTTTGTCTGCTTTTAATGTAGCCACTCCTATTTTCTTTTGGTTAGTGTTTATATGGAATATTTGCTTCTAACCTTTCATTCTTAATGTATTTATACCCTATAAGGATATAATTATATATATAATATATAATATGAACTGATTTATTTAAGACCACAAATAATTAGGTCTCCCTCTTTCATCCAATCTGGAAATTTCTCTTTCAATTACAGGTGTTTAAGTATTTCTATCAGATGATGTAAGTGGGTTTAAATTACCATATTTGTTTGCTGTTTGTTGTTTCCTTCTAGTCTCTGTTCTTTTCCTCTCTTTTTCTTCCCTTTTTGAATTAAATGAAAATGCTTTTAAGAATGATTCCATTTTATTTATGCTTTTAGTTTATTAGTTATACTTCTTTTCAAAATTTTCTTAGTGGTTGCTGTAGGACATATATTTCCAAATGATTCTATCTTCCTTTAATTAATATTGTAACATCTTACAAATTACTTAAGACTCTTATGAATGTGTACTTGAAATGTTTCTCCTATATCCTTTGTGCTATTATTGACATACATTTTACTTTTACACATCATAAACCCCTCAAAAGATTGTTACCACTTTGGTTTAGGTAGTCAATTATATTTTAGAATGATTAGAAATAATACAAAAACCATTTTATGTTTATTGTCATTTTTACCATTTTTGTAGCTTTCAATTCTCTTGTTTTTCTCATGGATTCTCAGAAATCCATGTTTCTGTTTAATATGATATTCCTTCTGTCTGGAGAAATGCCTTTAACGGTTTTTGTATTATAGGTCTTCTGGTAGTGAATTCTTTCAGCTTTTGTTCATCTGTGAATGTCTTTATTTTGTTTTTTTAAATTTTTTTTGGTCTAGGTAAGAATTTTGGATTAGTAATTTTGATTTTTCTTTTCATTACTTTAGAGATATTATTTCCTTTTCCTCTGGCTTGCATCATTTCTAACAAGAAGTCCCTTTCAATGTTTGTTTCTTCCTCTATATGTAATATGTCTTTTACCTCTGACTGTCTTCAAAATTTTGTCTTTATCCTTGTTTTTCAGCAATTTGATCATGATGTATACTGCTCAGTACAGAATTTGAGTTTAATTTTTTTCTAACAGTGTGAGGTGTGAATAGGTCCAGCCTTGCTATGTATCTGTGACTACTACAGCAGAGATATGAATTCTAGAACATCACGTTACTGTCAGCCTAGCTTAAATAGAGGCCTCAGTCCTGAAGTTGCCCTTATTCAACTTTGGTGTCACTGAAGCACAAGTTAGACACACATCTGAGATTTTCTTTTCATCAGCATTAATTTTTGAATTGCATCAGACAATTTAGAAGTGATATTATTATAAAAAGTATCTTAATATATACATATATATTTCCTTTTTTATAAAGGAGAATAAATTCATTGAAGAACAGCAGGAAGAGAAGTTTGAGCCTGATGATGCACCTAAGAAGGAAGAAGCAACAACTAAAGCTGGCTCAGAAAAGAGTACACTGGAGAAGAACAAAATTAATTTTGGGAGGAACCCAATTGGCAAGAGATTAGAGCCAAGTTTAAATTGGAAGAGGACTGTTGATTTAAAAGAGTATGTAGGAATTTGCATGATGGTTTTTCTGATACATTAAGCTAAATCCTCAGTAAGAATGTTTGCCTAATTTTTCACAGTTCACTGCATAGTAGAAAAATATAGAGTAGATATTTACACCTCCTTCCATAGTCCAGGTTGTCTCCTTTTTGCCCATCTCTTTATATTCCAAGCTGAAAGATTTCATATCAACAGAGTTTATGTTTGGACCATTGTAAAGGGATAGAAAGAACACAGTTCACTTTCATGTATTGGTCCAAAATCAAAAACAAACTCACTGCCGTCGAGTTGGATCCAACTCATAGTGATCCCTCCTTGGGTTTCTGAGGCAGTATCTCTATGGAAGTAGGTTGCCCAGTCTTCCTTCTGAGGAGTGGCTGGTAGGTTGGTGAGGACCAACAAATGTGAAAAAAAGATGGTAGAACACATGGAGGGATTACATGGGGAGTATAATACCAGCAGTAGGGACTTGGCTAAGTAATTGCTGAGGAATCTGGAATTACTGCAGTTATATAAAATTAATCAGGGAATCCTTCATAGAGATGCTATGTTTTCTATTAACAGAACTTTACGTATATAAAAGGATTAGAGTCTGAATAATAATAATAGGCATAAGTAGAATGGACACTGGTTTGGTAGATGTATTAAATATACAAAATTAATTTTCTTTAGGACTTTGTATAAGTAAGTGCTAAAGCAAAGATTAAGGGCCAATGATTAATAACTTAAGTGCTTAGGAGATCATAAGCACATAGTATACTTTTAAAATTTAGCCAATGGGCTGATGAGTTTCAGTTTATTATTTATTTAAATAAATAAATTATTTAAATTATGATTCAGGTGGTTGTTTACAGAGCAAATCGGTTTTCCATTTAACAATTCATACACATTTGGTTTTGTGACATTACTACCCCTTTGAGCTCATATGGTTGATTGTCCCAATGAGTGTGTACCTCACTGGTATTGTTGTTCACCTTATAGACCTCTTTACTGTTTGCCTGAAAGTGGAGCTACAGGGGTAAGTTCAGTTCCAGGTTTCAAAGGTGTCTAAAGGTCATTGCCTGGGGGATTCTACTAGTCTCTATTAGACCAGTAAATCTCATCTTTTTTTTTTTTTTAATAATTTTTAGTTTTGTTTCACATTTTTCTCCCACCCTATTCTGGACCTCCTGTTGCTCTTTTCCAAATGGTTAGCAGTGTAGCCATGCACTAAATGCACTGCCATGGAGTCGGATCTAACTCACAGCAACCCCTCCTTCAGTTTCCGAGGAGATATCACTACAGAAGTAGATTGCCCAACCTTCCTTCCAAGAAGTGGCTGGTGAATTTGAACCACCAGCCTCTGGTTAGCAGTTGAATGCCATAGGCAATATGCCACCAGAGTAGCCAGGCACCATCTAATTCTTTTGGTCTCAGGGTCATGGAAATTGGGTATCATGTTGTCTATTAGTTCTTTGGATTGTTTCCTTGCACCTTTGATTTTCTTCACTCTTCTTTGCTCTGGATGGGGAGAGACCAATAGTTGCACCTTAGATGGCTGCTCACAATCTTTTAAGACCTCAGTTGCTACTCACCAAAGTAGGATATAGAGCATTGTCTTTGGGGACTATGCTATGCCAGTTTACCTTAGTGTCTCCTTAAGACTATGGTCCTGAGCCCCCATGCCCAATGATTCAGTCCCTCAAAGTGTTAGGTTATGGCTAAGAAGTTTTCATAACTTTGCCCCCATGCTCTAATATATTCATGGATATATTTGCAGCACATACAAATACATATTTAGAAATATCCTCTGTCAAACTGATATATATTCATTGTTGTTGTTATGTGCCGTCGAGTCGGCCCTGACTCATAGCGACCCCTTCTTGGGTTTCCTAGGCAGTATCAGTACAGAAGTAGGATTGCCCAACCTTCCTTCTCAGGAGTGGCTGGTGGGTTTGAACTGCCAGCCTTCTGCTACCAAGAACTCCCGATATATATTCATAGGTATGTTAAATATTATATGAAAATATATACCTATGTATTCAAACTGATATAAATTCACAGCAGTTCTTTCAGAACAGATTTGTTACTTCCTTTAGCAGTCCATGGTACTTTCATCTTTCTTCACCAGCACCACAACTCAAAAGCATCAACTCTTCTTCAGTCTTCCTTATTCATTGTCCAGCTTTCACAGACATATGAGGTGATTGAAAATACCATGGCTTGAGTAAGGCATACCTTAATCTTCAAGGAGGTATCTTCACTCTTTGGTGCTTGAAAGAGGTCTTTCGCAACATATTTGCCCAATGCAATATGTCTTTTGATGTCTTGACTGCTGCTTCCATTAGAGTTGATAGTAGTTGTTGTTGTAATAGTAGAAACAAGTAATATGAAGTCTTTCATAGGTGTAGTCCCATTTGCCTTCCTACCCTTGTTCAGCTTGAGTGTCTATCTATGTATGCACTCATAAATTATTATTAGAGTAATTGCAGGATTATGTATATAATAGTATTTACTTTTGTTGCCTTTAACACTTGTTCTCCTCCCAGTATCTTCCACTGCCTTAATCATTTTGTGTTGACCTCCCCCTTCATCCAAGTTAATATGTGTCTACCCTTTAGTTATTTAATTCTCCTTTGTCCTCCCATCCCTGGTAACCTTCAAGGAATGTTTCTTCCTGTGTGTAAACCTTTTCTTACATTTTACAGTTGTGTCACATACAGTATTTGTCCTCCTGTGATAGACTAATTTCACTCAGCATAATGTCCTCTAGGTTCATCCTTGTTTTGAGGTGTTTCACAGATTCATTGTTATTCTTCAATGTTGTGTAGTAGTCCTCTCTGTGGGCCGTAATTTGTTTATTAATCTGTTGATGGATTCCAGTCTTTTTGCTATTGAGAATAATGGTGTGATGAACATGGGTGTGCATAAATCTGTTGATGTCCTAGCTCTTATTTCTCTAGGACCTATACCTACTAGTGGGATGCTAGATAATATGGTATTTATATTTCTAGCTTTTAAAGAAAGCATCATACTGTTTTCCACAGTGGTTGTACCATTTTACAGGTAAAGTAGCAATGGAGGAAATATCCTAGTCTCTCCATACCCTCACCAGCTTTTTTTTTTTTTAAAAAAACATTGCTATTCATGCTGCAGTGAAATGATATCTCACTGTTGTTTTGACTTGCATCTCTCTAATGCTAATCATTCTCAAAAGGGAGGTTGGGCAGTCTACTTCCATAGTGATACTGCCTCAGAAACCCAAGGAGAGGTCGCTGTGAATCGGGTCCGACTCGATGGCACATAACAACAACAACAACAACACTAATGATCACAAGCATCTCTGTGTGTTTGTTAACCACCGAATGTCTTTTTTGATGAGGTGTCTGTTCATGTCCTCTGCCCATTTTGTAATTGAATTGTTTGTTTTTATTGTTGTTGAGGTATTGAAGTTCTCTATAAATTTTAGGGATTAGTCACTGGTCTGATATATTGTTGCCAATTTTTTCCCCCAGTCTGTAGGTTCTCTTTTTACTCTATGTAAAAGTTTTTTGATGTGCATAAATGTTTAATTTTTAGGAAGTCCTAGTCCTCCTGTTTGTCTTCTACTGTTGTTGTTATGTGTTGTTGAGTCCTCTCTGACTCATCGTGACCTATGTATAACAGAACGAAACATTTTACCCAGTCCTCTGCCAGCCTAATTATTCCTATTGTACCTGAGCCCACTGCTGCAGCCACTGTGTCAATCCATCTTGTTGAGGGCCTTCCCCTCTTCCATTGACCCTTCACTTTACCAAGCATGACGGCCTTATCCAGAGAATGGTCCCTTCTGACAACATGACCAAAGTAGGTGAGACAAAGTCTGGCCATTCTCGCTTCTAAGAAGCATTCTGGCTGCACTTCTTCCAGGACAGATTTGTTAGTCCATGGTACTCTCAGCATTCTTTGTCAATTCCACAACTCAAAAGCATCAACTTTTCTTTGGTCTTCCTTACTCATTGTCCAGCTCTCACATCCATATGAGGTGATTGGAAATACCATGGCTTGGATTAAGGACATCTTAGTCTTCAAGGAGATATCTTTGCTTTCAGTGCTTGAAAGAGGTATTTTGCAACAGATTCACCCAGTGTAATACATTGTCTGATATCCTGACTGCTGCTTCCATTGGCATTGGTTGTAGAACCAAGTAACATGAAGTCTTCGACAACTTCAGTCTTTTCTCCATCTATCATGATACTGCTTATTGGTCCAGTTGTAAGGATTTTTCTTTTCTTTAAATTGAGGTGTAATCCATACTGCAGACTGTAGTATCAGTAAGTGGTCCAAGTCATCCTCACTTTCAGCAAGTAAAGTTGTGTTGTCTGCATATCTCAGGTTATTAATAAGCCTTCCTGCAATCCTGATGCCATGTAGTCCAGCTTCTTGGATTATTTGCTCAGCATGCAGATTGAGTAAGTATGGTGAAAGGAACCAACCCTGATGCACTCCCTTCCTGATTTTAAACCATGCAGTATCCCCTTGTTCTGTCTAAATAACAGGCTCCTGGTCTATGTACAGGTACCTCATGAGTACAATGAAGTGTTCTAGAATTTCCATTCTTCTCAATGTTATCCACAAGTTGTTATGATCCACACAATCGAATGCCTTTCCATAGTCAATAAAGCACACAAGTAAACATCTTTCTGGTAGTCTTTGCTTTCAGCCAAGATCCATCTGACATCAGCTATGCTATCGCTCACTTCATGTCCCTTTTTGAATCCAGCTTGCATTTCTGGAAATTCTCTGTACTGCTGCAACAATTTTTGAATTATCTTCAGTAAGATTTTACTTGCATGTGGTATCAATGATATTTTTCAATAATTTCCACATTCTGTGGGATCTCCTTTCTTTGGAATGGGTAAAAATATGGATCTCTTCCAGTCAGTTGGCCAGGTAGCTGTCTTTCAAATCTTTTGGCATAGCCAAATGAGTCCCTCCAGTGCAGCATCCATTTGTTGAAACATCTCAGTGGGTATTCTGTCAATT